ATGCAGCACCACTCACCTCTGTGACCTCCATCATCCACCAGCTGGACTACTTCCGCCTCCGCCACTCCCAAACGCGTCAACATGAGGTCACACACTGGTCGGGGTCCCCTTGGCTCCTTGTGGTTCAACCAGCCAGCAGCTGCCACACTCCTTCGAATCATAATGGTGAGCTGTCGGCCATGGAGTTCAATGTATGCCCTCAGGAGCGTCAAAGCGCCACTGTTCAGATGGCGGATGACTTCGCTGGGGTTGAACGCTGGCCTATCACTGACACTGTTGCCCCCAACATCCGGGAACGTCAGGGCAAAGGTCTCCACAACGTGTGGCACCACAGTGACCTCCAGGAACGAGCAGAGGCGTGCAAGGAGCAGGAGCAGGGCAGGTGGCCTTCCCACAACCGTGTCCTGGCTGTCGTCACTGGAGCATGGAGGGTTTTCACCTTCCTGTGGCCCAGGCACACTCTGTGCAAGCAAGCCCAGTCGGTGAAAGACAATACCAGAAGCAGTGCGAAGTGTGTACAGACCTTGCACACATATCTGGACATCACTTGCGTGCTCTCAAAGATGTTGACTATCCTATTGAAGCTATGTAGATGGGAAGGGCCCAAATTCGTATCGTTCCTTGCCACTGCAGCAGTTTCACATTCATGTTTTCCCATATTCGCAGCAGCACACTGTACACACATCCAAGCCATGAGTCACAGTTCGAACCTGAGTGCACTGATGGTGATTGTACATCGTTTACAAAGACACCTCACTTGCCTTGTTGAGCCGCCCCCGTGCAAGTTGTGCAAGGGTGCCGCCCCCGACTTCATCTGGCAGGGCAAGGTTTGCAAAGTCTTTGGTTGACAGCAGAGATTCGGAAAGCAAAACCTGCTCTTTGCTGGTTGACAACTGGGAGCTGGAGGGTTGGTCACCTTTAGGCAACCCAGCCATGGCTTGGAAGTACAACAAGAGGTGCATGAAGATGGCCTGCATCTGGCCTTGCAGCATATCAACAAAAAGGGTTTCCCAGTTGTTCAGGAGATGTGCAACGGCTTGGTATCCCTTCAGGCCTTGGATAATGGATGATACCCCTTGTTGGAGCATGTCACAAACGGTTGCAAAGCCTCGGCTGAGCACCTGAGGTCCAACACCTGCATGCAGACAATGATAACACAATCATTGCCTCGACTGCCAGGCATTTCTGTTGATTTCTGGATTAGAGGACCGTTATTTGCCTATTACTATGGCAGTGATGGTTGATGCTGAAGTGGCAATCCATTCGATTGAAACTGCAAGAGAATGATAGAGCACTGCCCTTGCATCTGCATAGCTATGGCAGGCATTTTATCATCATGGATATTTGTTCAAGAGTGTATTGTTCAATTCATCCAAGCAAGAGGCTGATGTGTCATGCACTGGAACTAGCATCCATTGATCAATTTGCCAAACACTCGAGGAGAAATGACTGCCATTACAATTGCCACTAGAGCTAGGCAAGTTGCATACTCTTGTGTAGATATTGTACCAGCTGGCAGTCTAGCTGACAGGGAACACATGCTAAAGAGTCTCACTTATTCTACGCTGCCAGCGTAAAGGCTGTGCTATAAATAGGACGATAACTTTGCGTTGACTTCAGGCAAATGCATTCCTCCATGAACCGTATCCCAGAATGCTGCGTTTTGTCCAAGATCGAACAAGATATGACTGACAAATTTGTGCCTCTCTCCTCATATCTTGGAAAGAGAGATCTGGCAGATGAGATTCTGTGAGTGTGGCAAATACCTGGAGAGGGTGGGGACTCTGGGCTTGGCTGCTCAAGCTCCTTCTTGATTCTGATGACAGCCTGCAGCACCCTCCGCGTTAAAGCCATGAAGCAAGTTGAGATGTGATGCTGCACCAGGCTCTGGGTCAGCAGCAGCCCTCTTCGTTTTGGCTCCACCTCACTCAAACGACTCTCCAGCACCCCCAAGTCTGCATTCATGTGTGCCAAGCCCTGGTGAGACAGGACTGAACTTCCTTCAGCATTGTCGAACACCAGGATCATCATCTCAGATGACAGGCGATGACACTAGTTGCATCCCTGCCCAACAATACGCTCCAAGACATGCCTGACTGAGGTGACTGGAGGTGCGCTGCAGGTGCCAAAATTTCACAATTCTGCTCAGAAAGATAAGAGTCTGCGTGGCCAATAGGCAGCCGACGTGTGGCATGTGTCACCTGGATGCCAAAGAGAACAAGGGATTAATGCAACACCTGATGGAGCCATCACCACTTGATGGTTGGCAGTTCGGTTTGCCAAGCGGTGATGCGTACCACAAGCGGGGACTAAGCAGCGTCATTTGCTCCACATGAGGTATGACCATCTACATACCACAACGGACCTCTGAGAATGGTGGCATTTGGGGTTTGTCATGTTCACCTGTGCCAGTGCAGCTGCACCCCAATCAACAGAGAACCGCACAATGGGCACATCAGGAGGGCCCTCAGCAGTCCCAGACCCAGGTTCCAAGCCAGCACCAGCTATTGCTGCGCTGTGAGCCTCAACTGCAAAAGCCTGGCCAATCAGCTGGAGGTACGTCCCCATCATGGAATCGGCCATCTCTGTGAGGCGGCTCCTGTCCGCAGCATCCTGGCTCTCTGCATCCACAAAGGTGTGATTGAAAGCCATCACCGTCTCACTCAGAGAGTTGATGACCTGCTCGTCCAGTGTCTTTAGAAAGTGACCAAGGCTGGGTGAGCTGTCTCCTTCCTTCAACCACATATCTGGGACATCTGCAAAAGAGGGCCACAGGAGCACACACATCAGTAGACGATACTTGTGCACTACCTGCAAGGGGATCCAGTCCTGTTGGCAAAACCCCAAAGGACGATGCCATGTTTCTTGGAAGAGCTGTGAGATTCTTGCCAAGAAATGCAATACAAGGACTGTTGCGGATGCATGACCAGCATGGCCAGGAGTCAGCTCTGTATTGCACACTTGCTTGCTGTGGTTACTGCACCTTCAGCCTGTTCAAGCCCCAGGACATCGGCAGCCATGGCAGACACGACTGGGGCAGCACCATCAAGCATGTTCTGCACTCTTCGCTGTCGCCCAATAAGGAATTTCGCCTGAAAGGGACACCAAAACACAATGAGAATGCGCCACTGGACCCGCACAAGGCAAAAAATACAGTGACCTGCCCAACAACTGGGGACGTGCTAAGAAAGGGGTATAGTCCAGCGAGAAAGATCCCAGCAAGTGCACAACAACAACGGCAACAAACCAGATGGTACCATTACTTTCTTGGCCGGATAAGCAACTGGCACCTAAAGATTGACATGTACAGAAGCAAATTGATGCCATGGACGGAGTTCTTTATTGAGCTGCACATGGGCAGGGCCATAATCCACCTGCAGCTCATCTGACTTTGCGCCTATCCTCCTGAGCATATGGACGCATGCTTCCGACTCAGCCTCAGGGTCTTCCAGCCTTTCTTCCAGCTGCTTAGCAACCTCCTTGATGGCCACCTCAGATTCAGCTGCAACTGTTCGAAACACGCCTTGATGGCCGTATTTCTGCAATATGCCTGCTGCATTACAGTAGAAATCCACTGCAGCAGCATATGCTTTTTCGTCTTTTGCAATTTTCAGTTGCTTTGGTAGATTGAGAAGTGCCTGCAGCTTCTGGAGGAGGCTTCGGACACGGTTCAGCTCCTCAATGGTGTCCCGGTGCTTCTGGAGCTTCGAATTGACACCGTTGCTAGTCTCAGCTACCCGATCTGCAGGAATCACAATTTGTACATGATAATTTATGCATGATTATTGCAAGCTATTCGTAGCAGGGACTGATCAAAAGCGCAGAGCATGCTTGGCTGGGGCGACACATGGTGGACAGATATGCCCCTTCCAAGCCCACAGAAGATTCCGCTCAGCGCGTGGGGATTGCCAGCAGACTTGACGAGTCACTCTCACCGATCTGGGACATCCCATAAGATTTTGTTTGGTTTTCAGGGCTCTTCAGCAGGGACTTAACTCGAGGGAAGTGGTGCAAAATGACCATTCATATTTCGAATTACACCAATGGCAAAATGATGTGTGAGCACTTCAAATTGGCACAGCAGCTTGCTGCCAGGCAGTGGCCTATGTCGGTTAGCCCCCAAGTCAGGGGTCTGCTTTGGCTTGTTTGCACTGTGTAGTGATTCCATTTGTCAACAGATCAATCGTGTCCTTTGTGCGCATATGTGCAAGTGTTCATCTTCTTTGAAACAACACTTCATGGAGTCTAAAGCTGTCAACGATCACCACCTAGTTCTTGAATTCCTCTGCAGAGGAAGGGCTGGTCAATCATAGAGTGAACCATGCTGTAGGCACCATTGCACAAATGCGCTCACGGCAAACATGAAAGGATGCATGTGCAACGTTACATGATCGTTGATGTGTGTTGCAGCAGCTCCCGAGTGGCGGGCAGATATTGGTTCGGACACTTTTTCACATCAAGCGCTTGTCTTTTCCCGTTCACACCACTCTGTAGTCCAAGTAGGCTGGCATGGTCGTCCCACAGAAAGTCGCCCGCTCACCCATGATGCTGCTGAGCTGTTCCATGCTCGGCCCCATCCCGTCTACGTTGGCCTTCATGGTCCTGATCGTGTCCGTGGCCGAGATGAACTTATTGTAATTCTCGTACACCAGCATCTGCATGTCCGAGTCCAGCACCTTGATCTCCCGCGCCATCTCCGAGTGCCGCCTCAGCAGCGTGTCGATGCGCGCGCTGCGCAGCAGGTTCGCCACGAAAGCCGACGAGCTGAAGACCGCGGAGTCGATGCTGGAGACGCGCGGCGTGTAGACGCTGCCGGAGGCCGCGGAGGAGGCGTCGTCCAGCGCAACGCTGCCCGTGGCGCATGACTCCGTGGCGTCGGCCGGTTCGTCCGCCGCTCCATAGTAGCTGTTCAGCAGGCTCTTGATGCGCCGCGACTTCTCGTCCTGGGCGCCCGAGGGTGGGTCGGCCAGCAGGTCACTCATTTCGCGCCCGGCCGGGGGCCGCTCGCAGGGGGACGACTCGAGCTACGGGCGCTCGGCGGTGTGGTGACACGGGATGGCACAGGTCGGAGCCGTTGAATGTGTTCAATGTGTACTTAGTGCGTATTACGCACTGTCCCGGTGTGCAGCGGGATAGTTAACTGGTAAGGGTAAGCACGTGGATGATGAGGGCAGTAGAGTATGGGCGCTGTAAGGGACAGATCGGGGGCGTAGGTATGGAACAGGTAGCAGTGCGGGAGGACGTGGGCGTGAGGGAGTTAGTGGGTAGGGACCTCAGGAACGTCGGCGGGCGGACGGGTCCAGGTAGGCTGGCCTAGAG